TCAATTATTTTAATAATTAATATACTTCTTCTCAGGAATTCAATTATTTTTAAAAAATTTTAATTACATTTTTTGCAAAAATTCAATTATCTTCACGGATAATAAAATTATTCGCAGGAATTAAATTTTTTTCAAAGATTTTTATAAAATTCTTTGCAAGAATTCAATTATTTTTAAAAATAATAAAATTTTTCTGAGAAATTCAATTATTTTTTAAAAACTTTAATAAAATTCTTTTCAGAAATTCAATTATTTTCATAAATAATAAAATTCGTCTCAGGAATTAAATTATTTTTTAAAAATTTTAATAAAATTCTTTTGCAAAATTTCAATTATTTTCCTGAATAACAAAATTCTTTGCAAAAATTCAATTATTTTCATAAAAAACAAAATTCATCGCAGGAATTCAATTATTTTCAGAAATTTTTATAAAATTCTTCGCAAGAATTCAATTATTTAAAAGAAATTAATAAAATTCCCAAAAATTCAATTATTTTCATAAATAATAAAATTCTTCTCAGGAATTCAATTATTTTTAAAAAATTTAATAATAATCGTTGCAAGAATTTAGTTATTTTTATAAATTTGAAAACTCCTAGCAGGATTTTAATTATTTTTAATACAATTTTAAATAAATTCCTCGAAAAATGTAACTATTCTTAAAGATTGTAATAAAATTTGTTTGAATGTATTAAATTATTTAAAAAAATTTTAATGAAATTCTTTATAATAAATAAAATGTGTTTTTAATTAATAATTAATTTAAAAAAGAATTGTAGTTAAAAATTCTAGACAATAATAATTGAATTTAGATGATAAAAATAATTTAAAATAAGTTAGAGTAACAATATTTTTATATAAAATAATAATTTTATCCTTGGGTTATCGTTAATTATTATAAAAACATGAAGAAATCGATTACTCCGAGTCGAAGACTCGGAGTGATTGACTTCTTCATGTTTATAATAATATTCTTATAAGTTATTAAATTTTAAAAGATTTGGATTTCAAATAATTTTTTTTCAGTGTAATTATGAAAAATAGAAAATGAAAAAAAGTTCCCTTGATTTGAACGTTCAAAATTTTAGTAAAATATTTATTTCCATTTATATTTTCGTTTAATTTTATTCATTTATGTTTATATTTAATTTGAATTATTTATGAGGACGTGATCCTAGGATAAAAAGGGAAAAAGAGAGGGAGAGAGTGTAAAGCAATTATTTAATAATAAATTTGTAATTAATAATAAATGAATTTATAAAAGAAGATAATTGGGGATCTCGTCTGTAGATTAGTTGCACGAAGTGAAGTAGACGGCCAATTCAATGTTGTATCGTCGTCGCGTCCGGTATCAAAGCGTGATAAAAATAAAAGTAAGAGAAGAAAAAAAAAAAAAAAGTTTGAAAAAAAATGAATCATATATGTATGTGAATAGAGAGAGACTGGCAGTCGAGAAAGCGATGAATGGACGAATGACCGTGCAATAGAATGAATGAATATTACGAAGGCAATGGATACTGTTCGTGCGGATAATACTTTGACACGATGGGAAGGAAGCGTTGTTGTAATGCGAATCTGAATTGAAACCTCGCGTCTTGAAAACGAAATGAGACGCTACTTTATTCCCTTTTATTGCGAATGCGAATTCTCAATTCTCTTTTCAATGTCGTATTATATATGCAAACCGGAAATAATGTTTATACAGTCTCTATTTTTATTGTTTGGAGTTTTCTAAATATATAGATACACAAACAACCGGTATAATGCAGTTGCAGGTAGTGACTACTTTACCAGTATGGTAATTTTAACTATATTGTATACCAAGATTTTTTTTTTGTTTTTTTTCGTTAATTTTTGAAGCGTTCCTTTGCTATTTTTATTGGAATTTATTTCTAATTATTTATGAATCTGAACTTGAATAAGAACGCAGCCCTCGCACTCATCTATTAAAAACAACTATTTATTATTTTTTTTACGATTTGCTACTATTTTGATATTTTTATTTGCTACACTGAAAGCTACTTTTTTCCATGATTAAAAATTTACACTACTTTTTTGTTAACAGTTGAAATAAAAAAATTATTTTTAAAAATTTTAATAAAGTCAATGGAAAAAATTCAAAAAAAACTTTAATAAAATTCTTTAAAACGATTCAATTTTTTTACAAATTTTTCGTAATTCAATGATTTTTAATATCTACTATTTCAATAAAAAAATTTCCCAAAAGAATTGAATGATTTAAAAAAAATGTTTATAAAATTCTTTGCAAACATTCAATTGTTTTCATAAATAAAAAATTTTCACAGGAATTCAAATATTTAAAAAAAAGTATTTTCCTGGTATTTTTCGAAAAAAGTCAATAATTTAAATAGATTTTTATAAAAATCTTCGCTAGAATTCAATTATTTTTATAAATAATAAAATTCTTCTCAGGAATTTAATTATTTTTATAAATAATAAAATTCTTCTCAGGAATTCAATTATTTTTTTAAATTTTAATAATAATCATTGTAAGAATTCAATTATTTTTATAAATATTAAAACTCATCGCAGGATTTCAATTATTTTTCATACAATATTAAATGAATTCGGCGAAAAATGCAATTATTTAAAATCAGTTTGATATAATTTGTTTATTAGAATTTAAACCTTATTTTCAAGTTCATTTTTAATTATATTTCTTGAAAGAATTTAATTATTTTCAAAAATTTTAATGAAATTCTTCGGAAAAATTCAATTATCTTCATGGATAATAAAATTATTCGTAGGAATTCAATTATTTTCAGAAATTTTTATAAAATTCTTCGCAAGAATTCAATTATTTAAAAAAAATTAATATTCTTCTCAGGAATTCAATTATTTTTAAAAATAATAAAATTCTTCTCAGGAATTCAATTATTTTTTTAAAATTTTAAGAAAATTCTTTGCAAAAATTCAATTATTTTCATAAATAATAAAATTCATCGCAGGAATTCAATTATTTTTAATACATTTTTAAATTAATTCCGCGAAATATGCAATTATTCTTAAAAAATTTAATAAAATTCTTTGAAAGAATTTAATTATTTTAAAAAATTTTAATGAAATTCTTTATAATAATTAAATTGTTTTCAATATAATTTTAATAAAATTCTTTGAAAAAATTCAATTATTTGCATAAATAATAAAATTTATCGCAAGAATTCAATTATTTAAAAAAAATTGAATAAACTTCCCAAGAATTCAATTCTTTTTAAAAATAATAAATCTCTTCTCAGGAATTCAATTTTTTTGTAAAAATTTTAATCAAATTCTTTGCAAAAATTCAATTACTTTGATAAATAATAAAATTCTTTGCAAAAATTCAATTATTTATATAAATAACAAATCTCATAGCAGGAATTCAATTATTTTTTAAAAATTTGATTAATAATCGTTGCAAGAATTCAATTATTTTTATAAATTTAAAACTCCTCGCTGGATTTCAATTATTTTTAATATAATTTTAAATTAATTTCACTAAAAGCTCAATTATTCTTAAAAATTTGAATAAAATTCTTCGAAAGAATTCAATTATTTATAAAATTTGATATTATTTGTTTCTTAGAGTGTAATAATTATTTTTCATTCATTTTTAATTACATTTTTTTGAATGATTTTACTTATTAAAAAAAATTTCAATGCAATTTTTCGTAAAAATTCAATTATTTTAAAAAATGTTGATAAAGTTCTTTATAGGAATCCAAATTTAAGAAATATTCAATTATTCAATAAATTATTAATTTTTTTATTTAAATAATTGAATTCTCGTAGAACTTTAAAATAAGAATTGATTTAGAATTAAATAAAATAAAATTATTAAAGTTTTGAATAATTTTATTTACAAATTTTAAGAAAAAAATGATTGAATTTTGAAAGAATTACTTTTGTAATTTTTAGAAATAGTTAAATTTTAAAAAATGCGTTATTACATTGAAATCATTTGAAATATTTTAATTTCCTGTAGACAAAATAAACAGGTATTTAAATATTTATTTTAAAAAATTATTCTATTTTTGAATGTAATTAAGAAATTTAAAAAAGAATTGAGTTGTCGAGTTTAATTTTTCGATAGTTACTTTTTTACTACTTTTTTTGTTTTTTAGCTACTTTTTGTTACTTTTTTGGTTTTTAATCTACTTTTTTTATTGATAAGCTACTTTTTGATACTTTTTTTAAAATTAATTATTGAGTTCGAAGCCTGGGAACGAAAAAATTCCACAGTCAAGGGGAATCGAACGCGGAACGTTAGAGACATAAATCGCACACGCAGACCCCACGGCTACGCAGACCTGTTAAATTTTTATCTCTCTCTCTTTGAATATTTTCCCTCTTTTAACAACTAATTCCAACAAGAAAATGACCAAATTTTTCATCTAATAAATAATAATAGTATAAGATTAATAATAACGAATATTAAAACACAGTTTTTCTAAGGACTTCAAATTGAGACAGAAAATGAATCAAAAGTGTTGCGAAGCAACGTTTTTATTCGTTTTTTGTCTCAATTTGATATTCTAAGAAAAATTGCGAAAAACAGACCACATTGAAGTCCACAACGTTAATCAACGAAAAAAATTGTTTACTTAGTAAATTAATAAAATATATCGCAGCAATATTGACACAAAAATATTCAGAAAAAAATAGATTGATGTTTATGTTCTGATAATAATTGTTATACAATTAAATATTAAATAAAAAATAATATTCGAATAGATGAAACAAATTTTTTTCGTTGATCAACGTTGTGGACTTCAACTTTGTAAAAACAGTGGCGAAAAATTATAAATGGAAACAGTAAAAACATAAAAGGAAACAATACTACTAAATAAACAGAATAAAAATAATAAAAGGAGACGAGAAAAATGAAAATAACAAAGAAAATTGTGAAAGGAATAAAAAATAATTTTTGAGTTTTAAATATTGTAATAATTAAAATGTAGGTAATTATTACTAATTTTTTTTTTTTCTTTTTGTTTTAGCCATTTGCAATGGAAAGTGTTGCAATCGAGAGGCAGAGGAGCATCTTCGACATCAGGCAAGAGCAGATTTTCACAACCTGATCCATCATCATAGTCGAAGTCTCCAGGGTCTTTTGGCAACCACAGCAGATGCCTTAAGGGGTAAGTCCTCTGTCACAATGTCATTTTATGTATATCTATGTATATATATATATTTACATAGTATATGAAAAACTCCTTCTCTTCAACTTTCAAAATGGCCGAAAGCTAAATTTTCATAATTTTTTTTTCCTTTTTTCTACCTCTATATATATACACTAAAGCGTATCCTTAAAAGACCGGAGCTTACAAAAAAAAAAAAAAAAAAAAAAAAATGCAGTAAAAAATAAGTGAGAGAGAGAGAGAGAGAGAGAGACAGAAAAAACCAAAGAATAGAAAACAAAATTACTGCCCGCTTTTACGACTAAAGAAAACATAATAGAATTTACAATAAGATCACATCAAAAAAGATTAAGTACAAAAGCTATCTGCTTCCAAGTTTTTCCTTCGGTTGAAAAACAAAAAGAAAAAATAAATAGTTTTTTTTTACAAAAAACATGTTAAAAGCAAACTGTGACCTGAAAATAAAAATGCATTGACATAGTTTCAATTTATTCGTTTAGGAAAATATTTCATGTATCTTAGTATTTTATAAATCGATATTTATTTTATAAATGTTATAAATATGTTTATTTAAGGTCAAGAGATCGTATCGTTATAAAAGGGGCCGCTGCGCGCGACAAGTGATTTGTTTTTGTCTCCGCAATTTATATATCGTGAAGTGATTTTCATTTTCTAATAAATTGTTGAGAATAGCGAAAGAAAATTAGGTCATATACATTTCGACAATACACATTGCGAGGCGGACATAATAATTTTTAAATTTTTCATAAATATGTCACACAGAGAGGTCAAATTATATTGGCGAATATGGGAATTAAAATTTAGGTCACGATTTCTTGACATAGAGCTGAAAATTTGGGTAAAAACTTATAAACACAGTTTTATAACTGAAAAATTGGGAAATAAAGTACGGAATTTAGCCTGAAAAAAGGGCTCAAAAAAATTCAGGTCAATTCTATTCAAAATTTAGGTCAACAATCGTAAGGCGAGGAAAGTTAGGAATTTCGCCTGGGAAATCAGGTCAAAAATAAAACAATTGTAAGGTCAATGAATTCAGGTCAATTTGATTCAAAATTTAGGTCAAAAATCGTAAGGGGAGGAAAGTTCGGAATTTCGCCTGGGAAATCAGGTCAAAAATAAAACGATTGTAAGGTCAAAAAAATCAGGTCAAATGTGGCCAAATTTAGGTCGTAATTGTCAAACCAAAGATTGAAATGTCAATTTAGGTCAAAGGTGGACAAAAAATTTGAGTCGTGAAAGAAATATAATCTTAAGATTCAGGTCATAATTAAGAACAGAGTGTCTACTATTTTCATTTAACAAAATTTCCGGTTTTTTTTCTCATCAAATTTAAATTTATTTGATTTCGAACATAAATAAATCTACAAATGGTTTCAAAAATTGTTATTAGAGTTTTTATGAATTAAATTAAATAAATTCTTTTGACGAGTTTCTTTAAATTTGAAAATAATGTTTTTTTTTTAATAATTTGAATTAAAAATTTTGGAAAATAATTGAATTAAACAAAGAATTTTTTCAATTTTTAAAAATAATCTTGTTTGTTCATAATTAGAATTGCAAATTTGATTAATTCAATTTTATTAAAATGTATTGATACTAATTGAATTTTTTGCAAAGAATTTTACTATTTATAAAAAAAATTGAATCCTTCTAAAGAATGTTATTTTTTTATAAAAATAATTGAATTGTGGAAAACAATTTAATTATTTATAAAAAAAATTTAATAATTTTGAGGAGAATTTAAAAAAAAATTTTAAACATAATTAAATTTCTGCGAAGAATTTTATTACTTCTGAAAATAATTGAATTGTTTTTTAGAATTTTATGGAAATTTTTGAAAATAATTGAATGCCTGAGAAAAACTTTATTATTTTTAAAAATAATTGAATTCTTGGGAAGTTTATTAATGTTTTTTAAATAATTGAATTCTTGCGAAGAATGTTACAAAAATTTCAGAAAATAAATGAATTCCTGCGAATAATTTTATTATCCGTTAAGATAATTGAATTTTTCCGAAGAATTTCATTAAAATTTTTGAAAATAATTCAATTCTTTCAAGAAATATAATTAAAAATGAAATTGAAAATAATGTTTAACTTCTAATAAACAAATTATATCATAACTCGTTTTAAATAATTGCATTTTTCGCGGAATTAATTAAAAATTTTATTAAAAATAATTAAAATCCTGCGATGACTTTTAAAATTCATAGAAATAATTGAATTCCTGAGAAGAATTTTATTATTTATAAAAACAATTAAATTTTTGCAAAGAATTTTATTAAAATTTTTAAAAAAATTCAATTCCTGAGAAGAATTTTATTATTTTTATAAATAATAGAATTCTTGGGAAGTTTATTAATTTTTTTTAAATAATTGAATTCTTGCGAAGAATTTTACAAAAATTTCTGAAAATAATTGAATTCCTGCGAATAATTTTATTGTCCATGAAGATAATTGAATTTTTCCGAAGAATTTGATTAAAATTTTTAAAAATAATTCAATTCTTTCAAGAAATATATTTAAAAATGAAATTGAAAAAAATGTTTAAATTCTAATAAAAAAATTATATCAAACTTATTTTAAATAATTGCATTTTTCGCGGAATTCGTTGAAAATTGTATCAAAAATAATTGAAAGCCTGCGATGATTATTAAAATTTATAGAAATAATTGAATTCTTGTAACGTTTTTTTATTAAAATCTCAAAAAATAATTGAATTCATGAGAAGATCAATTTAATTATTTATAAAAATAATTGAAATTTTGAGGAGAATTTAAAAAAAAAATTTTAAACATAATTGAATTTCAAAAGAATTTAGTAAATCTGAAGAATTTTGCTATTTATGAAAATAATTGAATTCTTGAGAAGAATTTTTTTACAGTTTCTAGAAATAATTGAATTTTTTCGAAGAATTTTAATAAAATTTTTAAGAATAATTCCATTTTGCAAGGAAATTGATTAAAATTGTATTAAAAATAATTGAAATAAATTCTGCAATAAGTTTTAGGTTATACTTAATAAACCAAAGGGTAAAATGACCTACAAATTAGGTCAAATCTGGACAAGTAATTTAGGGCTGGAGAGATATTTAACTTCGAGATTCAGGTTTTTATTAAAATATAAAGAAGTTAAATGATCAATTTAGGTCGAACATTGCTAAATAATTTAGGTCTTAAATAAAGAAGCCAAGGGGTAAAAGGGCTTACAATTTAGGGCAAAAATGGTCAAATAATTTAGATCTTAATTAAAAAACCAAGCAGAGAAATGTTTCAGGAGTAATATTTAGGTCAAAACGAGGTAAAAAAAGTATCTCTTGATTTTATCTAAATTTTTAGGTCATAATTATAAGGGGTAATTTTTTTACAAAGGGGTAAAATGACCTACAATTTAGGTCAAATGCAGCGAAATATTTTAGGTTATAATTTAGGCAAGAGGAAATAATTTCAGACAGTATTAATTAATAATTTCAATACAGTGGCAAGTCAATGGGAAAACGACTGGAAAATTCAGGTCAAAATTTCCAACCCAGAAGGCAAAGTTAAAAAGAAATTTAGGTCAAATGACAAAGGTATAAAATGTAATGAAAATAAATTTTAAACTATAAAACAAGGGATGACACTCACTCTCTCTCTCTCTCTTTTTCTCTTCCTTTCCTCCTTTCAAGAGTAGAATCGTGAATTTTTAAGGAATCGTAAATGCACTTTGGAAAATTCTGAGAATAGTTGACGGAAGTGAAAATTAGGTCGCTGGGTTGCTAAGGGAAGTTTTCAAGTAATTGCCTGATTTATTCGCTCCTTGCGTCGAGATAAAAGCAACATGGAAAATTTATTTACTTCCTTTTAAAGTTTATTCGAATGTTCAATACTATTTATTTTTAGGTAAATAAGTAATTTGTTTGTTGCACCGTTTGTAACGTAAATAAATAATGTACATTGATACAATATTGGAGAAAAAGTTTTTTTAGGTCTCTCTCTCTCTCTCTCTTTCTCTTTTTTTTCTCTTTTTCTCTCCAAAAATACTAACTAAATTTTTTGCCTATTTGACAATTTTTTATTAGAAATGTTTTGTAATTAAAAATTTAAATTAGTTAAACTTAAATTTAATTAAAAATTAAAAACTAAATTAAAATAAAATCTAATTAAAAACTAAATTAATTGAAATAAAATTTAATTAAAAACTAAATGAATTAAAATTAAATTTAATTAAAAACTAAATTAATATTAAATGAAATGAAATTAAAAATGAAATTAAAATTCTAGTGATAATTTAGAAAATTTGGAAAGTTTCTGGCGATATTCAGGTTTATATATATATAGAGCGAGAGGGGGGTTTTTTCAGTCGCTTGCACATATTCAACTGGACTAAATAAATTCTATTCTCTTTAAATTAGAGTATAGACTTTGAACCTCGCTTTAATCGAGCCGACATAAAAAGTAACAAAAAAGAGTGAGAGAGAGAGAGAAAGAAGGAAAAGAGGAGAGAAATAGAGTCGAGTTGTCTGATTGACAAGAGAGGAGACTCGGAAATTTTGCGAATGTAATTTGGTTGCGAGGTCGTCGAACTAGAAAGCATTTTAAAAATACATTGTCACTAACTTGTGAAATGTTGCAAACTCTTTTTTAGATTGATTTAAAAATAAGATTGACACTGCAAAGAGTTTCACTTACAAAAGCGATAAATATAGTTTTAATCTCCAAGCTGGGAGTTTAAAGAGCAGGTGAAAAATAAAAATGTCACGAGAGAGGAATTTCATTATCGGCGGATCACTTTAATTTTATGTTAGAGACACGTCAACTTTTTAATCGATATAGAAATACCGAATTGACCATTATGGTATGTCCGGTGCTATTATTATTATTATTATGGTACGAGGCATTTTTTTCTTTCTATTAAAAGTTTGTACTTTAGTTTATTTATATATTTCTTAATGCAAATTTTTTATTTTTATTTTTGGGGATTTTTAATAAAAATAATAAG